TTCATCAGTTCTCCGTATATTTTTGTGATCAGTCCTTTATCGCTACTTTTGTGTGAGAAAATGTTTTCCCAATTAGTGATCTTTCTGTTTTTAGTTCCTTCTTAATAGGAGTTCTTAAGAGTTAAGTAGGATGTGTATTTTGTATTTGGAATAGTGTCTGACAACAGGTAGTGCGTAAATAAACACTTACCGTTATTTGTTAAGGTAGAACTTATGAATTGTGAAACCTTTGAGAATCGTGGGAAAGTCTGACTTCAGTCAAGGGTGAATCATGGGTCAAAATTACATTTCCACTGACGACTTTTCCTCCCGTTTTCTCCTGCAACAGGGTAACAAGAAGGGCCCCTTAGGCCGCTGGGACTTTGATACTCAGGAGGAATACAGTGAATATATGAACAACAAGGAGGCCTTACCCAAGTGAGTTGGTACTAAATATGTCCAGGGAGTGAAGAGAGGGCATAGGCTGAGACAGTCCCAAATGGAGCCTCTGGAAGGGATTCCTAGTGCTGTCAACCTCTGATGCCTGCTGCTCCCCACTACCCTTGTTTTCAGGGCTGCTTTCCAGTACGGTATCAAGATGTCTGAAGGGCGTAAAACCAGGCGCTTCAAGGAAACCAATGACAAGGCAGAACTAGATCGTCAGTGGAAGAAGATTAGTGCAGTAAGTGGGACTGCTGCTCAGGCTGGGAGGGCTTCAGCTAGAAGATCCTGCCCCGGGGCATTGGCTGGGGGTTGGAGACCTGCGCAAAGTTGAGAAAAGGCAGCTTTGGGTTTGAGGCCAGTTTACGTCAGCATCATCATTATCAACTCTAATGGTTCTTTTTGCAGATCATTGAGAAAAGGAAGAAGATGGAAGCTGATGGGTGAGCATTTTAGTTTTCCTCTAGAGAACTGTCAGGAATTGCTAAGTATATAGGTTTGTTTGTTATTTTAAAAGGCTTATTAATAAAAGGGGAAAGAAAAAGAGAGGCACCTGCATAGACACAGGTGGGCAGGAGAGCTGCCTGTATATCCATCTTCCAACTTGCATCTCTTTCCATTGTAGGGTTGAGGTCAAAAGACCAAAATACTAATCTCCAGTATCAACTCCAAGAACATTCTCCACAAGGATATACTTTCTACTGCTTTCTTCATACAATTCCCAGAAAAGTCGTATGGTGTTTTTGTGAATATATATACACTTTTATTGTATAATCATTTAGTTCCATTAAAATTGGCAAACTATTGTGTCTTTGTGTTGAGCATCCCATTGGGGTGCTGAATCTCCAAGAGGACTACGAATTCCACTGACTGTATCATCACGTGCAGAAAAATCAGCTCAGTCCTTTCCTGCTGTTGTTCTAGATTCCTTGATAATAAGGATGTTTAATAGCCAGAGTGGCCAGTGGAGATGGGGAGAGTGACCTTCACTCATGGGTAAGAGGTGGACTAAGACACGTTAAGGATGATTGGTCTCAAACATTAGACTCACTTCAGGCCCATCGAATGGCCTAGTCTTAGGGCAGAGCTTCCCTGGGGCTTGGGGTCAGCCCCGGAGGCTATCAGTTGACTCCACAGTTAAGTAAGACTGGGCTCTACAGGAGGTACCTAATGAAAATCACTTGTGGAAGTAAAAACCTTTTATGAATTTATGCCATCCTGGGAGATTAGTAAATTCCAAACACAAATTACTGCTTGCAAGCACCAATTTCCCTGGCTGACCAGATAACTTTGAGGAAGTGCTTTGGGGGAATCCCTGTCCCAGGCAAGGGGGTTTGATGCCTTTCAACACCCAGAAGAGTTTGATAACGGTCAAGGGTGGGCTTCATGGCTTTTGAAAAAAGCTCTCACCCTTTTTCTTTTTGTGCATTATAGCACTTCAGTCTGGTACTTGGCCAATAAAGGTCAATTTTTTTTCTGGTAGTCTCTGTAGCTGACATCTGCACTGAGCAAGATGTGTGGGCTTCAGAGATCCAAGAGCCAAGGACTTTTTCAGGAGGCTAGCTTTGTGCATAGCACCTAATAAATTGGGCCCTGTCTACCTCAACCATGGTTGTAGGCCTTGGTACTATTTAGGAAAAATTGCAGCACCTGGCTCAGATGAAGATACCTAGAAAGTTGCTTTTATCAAGCACTCCTGAGGCCTTTGTTTAAAGCCAGTTTCTGTAAGAACCACCAAGTCTTGTGGGATGGCCCGCTGGTTGGCCACACAGTGGGACTCCCAACGTCACATGGCAACTTGTTTTTGTCTTTGGAGACTCCTCTGGGTGAGTACAACAGGGATGTGGCAAGGTTCAGCCACAGGAGTTCTTGCTTCTCTGCCCTGTGATGTGGAATGCTGTCATCTTGGTGGAATTTTTGTAACCAAGATTCTGGATTGTCCACTATCCTGTCCATTTTTTCTCTTCAGAAGCTTATTGCCAGTCCTCATCACTGTTGGCCCCGTCGATGGGTCTGCAGCCAAACTAGTAAAGGGCCGGATACTTTGCTTTTTGGCCACGAATATGTTGAAAGCGAATAGCAAACAGTGGCTTAAGCGTGTATGCAGGGCTGTCTGCAGCCCGCAGCCCCTGCATGCTCAATTTTTGCTGCGTGGGCCTTTCTGTTTTCTGACCGGCACGCTCATGCTTGTCATGGTCTTGGGTATCACCGGATTATGAAGGATTGCAGTCCCGCTCTTCTACCGGAAGGAGTACCAAACAGCGTCGACGGGGATTAAAGGAAAGGACTTACATGCATTTTTCAGCTTTATGTTGAAAGTCCCCTTGGAAGGGAATGACTGATGGTCGCGCACTCTAGCTGGTTCAGGTACAGGCCAAGAGAACAGTGGCGTGTGGCCGCCTTTGGGCGCGAGTGCCCTCTGACCCGCTCTACGCGCTCCACATTTGCCGGCCCCGCCTCTTCCGGATTCCGGAGCACTCTCAGCGCCACTTCCGGCCCCGCCCCCCACGCAGAAGCGGCCTTCTTTCCCCTGGCGTGTCTCGCGCCTGCGCTCTGTGCCCGGCTCCTGCGCTCCGGCGATCTACCTGCGCATGGATCGCACGTGTGAGGAGCGGTCCGCGGAGGATGGGAGCGACGAGGAGGACCCTGATGTGGCAGAAGCCCCGGCCAGGATCCGAGACACCCCGGAAGACATCGTGCTGGAAGCGCCGGCCAGTGGGTTGGCGTTTCATCCGACCCGCGATCTCTTGGCGGCTGGGGATGTGGACGGGGACGTGTACGTGTAAGTGCTGGTCGGGGTGAGGACGTGGGGAGTGCCTTGTCCGGAAGCTCGGAAGGGATGGAGCTGGACAGGGCAGAGGAGAGAGTTGCTGGGAGACAAATTTTGCAAGACTCAGCTGCGCCATGCCCCGACTCAGAGTACCTGTTAGGTGCTGTGCTGGCACCTGGTACCCTCCCTCATAAACTTCGGTGGTTTGTAGCCAGGTGTCCTTTTATGCGATTATTTGACTGCTCATCTTCTCCACCAAACAAATACTTTACAAACTTTTAAAATCTCACTCTACAGTAAAAATACCTTTTACATCATGTGTGATGTAATCGGATCTTGTCCTGGTTTACTGGATTCTGTTGTTATTGCACGTACACATAAAATTCTAATTAGTGCCATAAAAGTCACTAATGGGTCATGACTGGAGTCTGGAAAACACTGGAGTATAAATCTGTAGTCCGTTTTTTGTTGTATGTTCCAACTCCTGTTTCTAGCCCAGGATAGGTGTTAAGTACTTGTTTGATTTTGAAAATAAGACGTAGTGGAAGCAGAGAAAAGCCATTGAACATATTAAACAGGAGAGTTGTGCTGTGCTGTCCGATTTAATGACTTTAAGTTTCAATCCCCTCATTAGTTGCAAGGTAACGTGTGTATTTTCATCTTTAAAAATGGAATTATTAGGGCCACCCTGGTGGCGCAAGGGGTTATGTCAGTGCTATCAAGCTGTCTCGAGCCACTGCAGCATGAGTTGGGTTCCAGACCAGGGAGGTGACCCACATGGCACAGCAGACCTCCCCACTCTTCCCACCCCCCAAGCCTACTCCACTGTTCTTGTGTGCATCAATAAAATCTTTATAAATAGGATCATTAGTATCTACCTTGCACAGTGCCAAGTGTCAGTATAGCACCAAATTAAATATTTAACAAATGTAGAAGGGAATCCCACTCCTGGTGGGCATGTAACTTCCCTCATTTCTGTGTCTGCCCTGGAAGGGGCTTGGGCTTCTGCCTCCAGTACTTGCCCCTTATTCTCTGCAAGGTGAACTACTTAGTCTTCATGATTGAATTCACATGTCATCACTTTAGTTATCTCCCCAGGGTGCTTTCCCTGAACGTTTAAATAACTATTTCATGCTAGGTGGGCACTGGGACAGAGTAAAAAGCAAGCAGTTCTGAAATGGAACCCAGGCAGTTGAGCACTTAACTCATTCAGCCCTTTCTTGAGGTCTGCTCTGAGGCATTGTTCTGTGGGCAGGTACTTGCCCCAAGCTGAGCTTACTCCCCAGCCTTGGAGGCTCCATCTCCATTTGACCCACCCTCCCCTTCAATGTATCATCAGTGTGGGCCACTCATTGTTTTCTTTAGCTCTTGTGCAACTGGCGAGCGGGAGCCTACCGCAGACTTTCACATTTCCAACTTCTGGGGCTATCCTTATTTAGCAAATATTTCTGTGCATCCACAGTCATACATTCCTATTCTTGCCCCAGACTGAGGTTTCCAAGGATGATAAAGGAGAGAGGGGTGCAGTTGCCAAGAAGTCCTTAGCAAATGTACTTTGTATTGTGTATAGAATGAGTAAAAAGGTCCAGTATCTGAAGCTCATTGAAAATGGAAAATAGGTAGCTCCTTGAATTTGAAGGTGTCTTAAGTAGGAGTCCTAGGTAGGCAGGAGGTTGACTACTTGAGCATTTATTTACTCCTCCCCCAACCCCCAGCTTTTCCTACTCGTGCCAAGAAGGAGAAACCAAGGAGCTCTGGTCCTCAGGTCACCATCTCAAGTCCTGCCGAGCTGTGGCCTTCTCTGCAGACGGGCAGAGTGAGTATTAGGGAATGCAGCAGGCAACAGGGTGGTGGGAGGGGAACAGTGCCATAACCCAGGTATCTTTCCTTTCAGAACTTGTTACTGTCTCCAAGGACAAAGCCATCCATGTTCTAGATGTGGGGCATGGCCAGCTAGAAAGACGCATTTCCAAGGCTCACAGGTAAGAGGAAGTATTTCTATATTGAGGTGAGGGGTAAAGACCAGTAGTCCTTGGGGAAAAGAAGCTGCAAAACGAATGCATCTGTCTCTAGTGCTCCTATCAACTGTCTGTTGCTGGTGGATGAGAATGTTTTGGCCACTGGAGATGACACAGGTGGCATCCGGCTCTGGGACCAGCGAAAGGAAGGCCCCTTGATGGACATGCGGCAGCATGAGGAGTACATTGCTGACATGGCCCTGGACCCAGCCAAGAAGCTGTTGCTCACAGCCAGGTAGTCTAGCTGCTGCTCTCCTTTGTGTTCAGTTTCCCTCTGGGAGCCTCTGGCCAAACCTGCCACTCTCCTCCCCAACAGTGGGGATGGCTGCCTTGGGGTCTTCAACATCAAACGACGCCGCTTCGAGCTGCTCTCCGAACCCCAGTCTGGAGACCTGACCTCTGTCACACTCATGAAAGTATGGCTGTGCTTGCTGTTGGGAGGGCGTATGTGTAGGGACTTAACTGTGGCTCCATGGACACGCTCTGCTCGATTTCTCTGCAGTGTGGCAAGAAGGTAGCCTGTGGCTCCAGTGAAGGCACCATCTACCTCTTCAACTGGAATGGCTTTGGGGCCACCAGTGACCGCTTTGCCTTGAAGGCAGAGTCCATCGACTGCATGGTTCCGGTCACTGAGAATCTGCTGTGCACTGGCTCCACGGATGGAGTGATCAGGTCAGAGGCTGGGATGGCCTTGGGTCACAGGTAGGGCAGGTGTCCCCAGCTGGCTCCCATACCCAGGGTCCCTTCTCTGTCTAGGGCTGTGAACATCCTGCCGAACCGTGTGGTGGGCAGTGTGGGTCAGCACGCCGGGGAGCCTGTAGAAGAGCTGGCTCTCTCCCACTGTGGCCGATTCCTGGCCAGCAGTGGCCACGACCAGCGTGTGAAGTTTTGGGACATGGCCCAGCTTCGGGCTGTGGTGGTGGATGACTACCGTCGGCGCAAGAAAAAGGGAGGACCATTGCGGGCATTGAGCAACAAGGCCTGGAGCACTGATGACTTCTTTGCAGGACTGAGGGAAGAAGAACAGGATCCCACAGCTGGGGAAGAAGAGGAGGAGAGTGAGGATGACAGTGATTGAGGGGGTGATCTGAATCTCAAGATAGGTCCACCGGGCAAGAGTTTTGCTGCCAAGGTGTTGCCAAGACAAGCAGACAGAGGCTCAGGACTCCCGGCACTGACGTGGAGGGTGCTAACCCTGCAGCAGGCCCTCACTCTGCTACTGTAATACAAGGCCACAGCACTGACACAGGTGTACACCAACCAGGGGTTTAATATAAATACAACCAGCATAGAAAAACTCAAAGCTGTACATAAACCAAAACTAGAACGGCAAGTGGTGGGGACAAAGGTGAGACTTCTGACCTTTTGGCTTTGCCAGCCCCCAAATAAAAAAACAACAAAGAGGACAAGAAAACAAGCAAAGCTTCATGCTAAGCTGTGTAATGAGAGTGTGTGTGTGTCACAGAGAACGGGTAAGGAATATCCACGGGTCAGACCCTCGGCTGGGAGGAGGGCAGGGTCCCTCAGCACAGCTCAGCCAAACCTGAGCTGCCTCCAGGTGTGTGCTGGGACCCTGCCCAGCTAGGGGCTGTCAGGCCTAAGGCAGGGCCCATGCTCCTCCCCACTTTGGGGGCAGTGGTTACCCAGGCCTGCTGGGCTGGGGACTGACACAGGTTATGCCCCTTTGGTCAGGCTGCCTGTGGAGAGGGTGGGGTCACTACTTAACCATGATACCTGCCTCAGCCACAGGAGGCTGCAGGAGGCTGGCCCCTGACTTACTCAGTGCCTGCAGCAGCTGGGCAGACACAGCATCCTTGGCCACTTCATGTGCATCCTGCCCATCTTGGGCCAGCACAACCCAGATGAGGCCACTGAAGGGCACTGGGTGCCCAGGGATCACCACCTGGTACCAGAAGTGATGCCAGCCAGCAGGGCCAGTGCCCAGACACTTGGTGAGGAAGACTGGGATGCCCAACTTCATCTGCTGGCACAACAGCTGCAGAGCAGCCCGAGCCCCTTGGGACTCTAGCTTGTCCCTGGCTAGGGCCAATCGGCTGCTCTCCGACTGTAGGGGCCGCAGTGAAGGACCCCCAAACTGCTGACGGAGTCGTTGCTTGAGGTCTGGCTTGAGCCACTCCACTGCCACCTGCTCTCCACAGAGGCGTGACTGGCCTGCAGGGAAAAGATGGACAGGTCAAAGCCTAGGCCCAAGCTCCCAGAGAGCTGAACCCTTTGGAGTGACAAAGGCCTGTGTTTAATTTCTAAGCCTCCCCATTTCTTGCTGTGGCCTCAGGCTTGTTAACTTCTCCAGGCTTCACAGTACTTGAAAAGGAGGTGCAACACCTACCAAGATTCCTTGGAGGTGCATTGGCTGCAGGCTTTACTGCCTCATGAACATCACAATAGCTAATCTTTACTAAGAGGACTTGCTCTGAATTAGGTTAATATGCTAAATACTGGGCGATTCTCACTGGAGGATAGAAGTAGGTTCCACCAGGGATCAAAGAAAGGCAGGCTCAGACAGCCTGGGGCAAGTCAATTTCTCTTAAAAAGAGCCTCCTACCTTTAAAGAGCAAGCTCACTCTTTCTTTGGAAAGTTGAACAGTAACTCAGGAGTTAACTGCAGGCCAAGTGTTAAATGTTGCTGAGTGGCAGTGCTAACAGCACTGGAAATTTAAAAATCTGAGTTCAAATAAATAGTCTGTTTGCAAATTCAAAGCTGTTTGGTTAAGATCATGTGACTTCACCCAGCATCATGTAGCGGATAAAGTGTCTGGTAGAGCAGGTCTGACCCCAACCACTGGGTCCCCAAGCCTCCACCCTACCTTCCACCAGGGCCTTTTTGGCCATGGCGGCAGCGCGGTGCGAGCTGAACTTGAGCAGCGCGATCTGCGCGGGCGCCGGCCCGGGGCTGGGCAGCAGCAACGCCTCCTGCAGGCCGGGCCCCAGTGGCTGCAAAGCGAGCAGCAGCGCGCGGCGGCTCAGCCCCGGCGGCAGCCGGTCCACGCTCAGCTCGCACTTCTCCGTGCTGCGACACACCAGCAGCGGGCAGGAGGGGCGCAGCTGGTGGTTGTGCAGCGTGGCGATGGCGGCCTGTGCGCCGCGCCGCGAGCTGTAGCGGGCGTAGGCGAAGCCGCGGTTCAGGCCGCTGAAGGTCATCATCAGGCGGAACTCGTAGAGGCGGCCCACGCGCTGGAACAGCGGGATCAGCTGGTGCTCGTACACGTCCTGGGGCAGCCGCCCGATGAACACCTCCGAACCCGCCGGCGGCGGGCTGCCCACCCAGCCTGCGGGGAGGGGTGGGGGCCACCGTCACCCACCGGGACCGCGCGGGCTGCGGCCCCGAGTCCCCGTGCAGGCGTCGGAGAAATGGGTACAACGCCGTCCCCGGGAAGTCGGCAAAACCAGGTGACTAGCTAACGGGACCTGCAGGAGGGAGCCGGAGCAGCTTCAAGGCTGGGTGAGAGGTGTGGGAGGGGGGTGGGGAGCCGCAATTGCCTGGCTGAGTGTAACGGGGACCCGGGGTGGGCCCCTCCCCCACGGGGGGGCTGGTCGGCCGTCGAGGTTGGGACTACCGTACCTGGGGGCGGCCCGCCATACTTCCTCTGCCCGTTCACCTGCACCAGGCGAATGCCCGTCTCCCTGACCCACGCCTCCAATGCCGCCTTGTTCTCTGGATTCACCCTCTCACACCACAGCTGAAGGGGAAAGGGCAGGTTGGAATGGCGGATCGTCGCGCCCACCCCCACTCCGCCTCCGGCGCTGGGGCCACAGGAGCCCCCTATTTCGTGCGCCAGCGGGGTTGGCGAAGTCCCTAGTTGGAGACCGACCACTCACCTCACATTCCCGCTTGGACTGCATGGCTCTGGCGCTGGTCGGCCGGCACCCTCTTTTATAACCTCCTCCCCTTCGGCCTCTGGAAGCTTCCCTGCCCCTCCACCTCCCAGGCTCCCATTGGCCGTGACCACGACCCCGCCCCTGGGGGGTGGAGGCGGCCGCTGCACGTGCGCCACGGGAAGCTCGAACCGCAGGTGAAAGCCCCCGGCCCAGGCTGTGGCCGCAGACCTCAGGGCTAGCAAGAGGTAACTCGCCAAACCCTCTGAATGCGGGCTGGGGATGAGAGCCCCAGGCGCCCCTTTCACCTGGGGTCTTGGTTTCACCCCAGCTTCCATCACTAAAATGATCCGAATGGTTCGGGCCCTGACGGCGGGGGCGCTCCGCAATAGTGACCAGGGTCCAGTGGTTGAGGCATTTTATTGGACTTTCGGCGATGTTCCCTCTTGTTTCAGGGAGGGGGCCCTATAGATGAGACCATCTTAGGTCCAGGCCTGGGAGAACAGAGTGGATTAAGCCTATGTAAAATAGTGTAGTACCTGGCCACTTTTGCCAATAATTACCAATGCGATAATCATAAAAATAAAAAGTCTCTGTTCACGCTTCAGGTCTTCCTGCTGGCACAGAGATGTGCGAAACTGTTGACGAATACACGCGGTTTTGTCTTAGTGTCCAGCTGTGCCAGTCCCACTTTCCGCTGGCAGAGTCTGCTCACATCAGGAGATGCAGAGGGGCTGACTTGTTCTCCTTCTGATTTCCTCCACAAGGTCTTCCCTTCGGATGTCCACCTGGCCAGCGTGAGGGAAGGAGGTATGAACTACTTCCTCCCCACTGCTCCCTGGGTGCTCCTTCCTCTAGACATCAGGGGTGGCTCAGCTGGGAGTGGGGTCTCCCCAGACACCATAAGGAGACAGTGCTTTTTGGGGGAGCCAGAGCAGCAGAGTACATGTGGGGCTAGAGGTCTTACCCCACCCTACCCCCAATTGATAAGTTTCAGCCCGCAAGTTCTCACTTTTTGTCTAGTCTGGCTTTTCTGCCTAAGTCTTGTATGGGCACTGGCCCACAGAACTGGCATATATTTCCTGCCTGCCTATCCCCCAGGCTTCCCGCCTGCCCACTTACCTCTTCCCTGCTTGCCACTGAACGGAGCTTGATGACACCGTCCTTGAGCTCCTGCTCCCCGATGATGGCCACCAGGGGGATGCCGGTATCCTCGCAGTACTGCAGTTGGTTTAGTAACTTTGGGTTCTTTTTGTAGAGCAGCTCTGCCTGCAGGGCACCAGAGTAGAAGATGCAGGCTGGGTCCCACTATCTTCTGGGACAGCCATCTGGGGACCCCAGCTTGTTCTGCCTTCCACCCCAAGAACTTAGTGACAGCAGGGCCACTAAGGCAGTCTGTGCCCAGCACTCCCAGGTTCGCTGCCATCCAGGGCCTGCCCCGTACCTTTATCCCAGCATCCCACAGCTCTGTGACCAGCTTCAGTCTCTCCTCCAGCAGTTTCTTCTGTGCTGATGCCACGAGTACCTGTGTCTCTGTGGTCCGAACCTTCTCCTCGGAAGCCTGGGGAAGGGGCAGGTTAGAGTCGGGAGCTGGGTGACGCTTTCAGACACCTCCAAGGAGCAGACTTACAGGTTATCTTTAGGAACCTAAGAGACGAGGCCCAACTCAGCCAGCTCCACCAGGGCGGGCGCAGCTCTGCATCTAGCAACTGGGCAAAAGTTAGCTTAGACAAAATGGGCTGCGCAGGACTGCAAGAGTAAACAACACAGGGTGAGGGCAAAGGTAGCCCATGCATAGTAATTTCAAGCTCATCTCATCTAGTAAGTACCTTTAAAGATGCACAAGGACCTTCACATAGAGTGCTAGTGGGAGCCCACCCCAGCTGTTCACTCCCGGGAGTTTTAGTTCCCTCTTACTGTGTGCCCAGTCAAAAGACTATGCTTCTTATATTTCAGCCATAGGGCACAATCTAGTAGGGGCGGGGCCCTAGGGACAGGGAGGGAGGGAAAATGCTGTTGTCCATTATCTTTTTTTTTTTTTAAGATTTATTTATTTATGCATACAGAATTGGGGTACAGGCCAGAGGTGTAGGGGTGGTGAGAGGATTCACCAGAGAGAGTGGGGAGCAGAACAGGCTGACTGATGAGTTCAATGCTAAGGGGAGCAGTGGATGGGTCAGGAGAGGTCTGCCACGCCACGTGGATCAGCTTCCTGGCCAGAGATCAAACTGCTGCTGAAGCGGCTGCAGCTAGCTTCATAGTGCTATGCTTCAACGTGTTGTGCCACCAGGGAGACCCCTGCCCATGTTATCTTTTTCTGGAAAACAGCTTTCTGTTCTTACAACAGAAGATGCCTACTAGAATAGTGACCTCAGCTGGGAAACAGGATTGGCACCCATTCTAGGGACAAGAGTGGAAGCAGGGGGTGGAAAGGTACCGCCAGAGCCCCCAGGGATGAAAAGCAAATGGCCAGTCAAGAGCAGCAGTAATAAAGGCGGGCTTGAGCCATCAGGGACTCCCTGGTGTTACTCTAGGTGGAGAACCAAAGACAGTTATGTGAGATTTCCCAGGCTCAGATGCATGCTTTCCACTTAATGACTGTAAGGGTGGTTAGGAGCAAGCTTTGGAGACTACATGGATCCCAATTCTGAATCTGCCATTTGCAAACTATTGGATCTATAATGCCTCAGTCCCTGTGCCTGAAAAATATAAAGTAATTGCTCTCAGAGGATTCCTGCAAGAACTGTATTACATAATGCACAAAAAGCACTAAACTGGCAGAGCAGTAAAATATTAAGTGCTGTGTATCATAAGGCTGATCTGAACTCATGGGAGATACCAGGTGAGATCCTGACAGCCCTGTAGGAAGTAGGGATCGAGAGGACCTTATGCAAGAAGGTGAGCAAAGATCCACAGAGCTGGCGGCTAATGGGGTGGGAGCTTGTGGTCAACTCTTCTCTAGTTCCCTGTAAAGATGTTCTTTGCCCAAAAGAGTGCCACTTGCCCCCTTGGGGAGCAAACATCATTTAGGTGGCACCACTTAGCCAATTTGTCTGCTACCCACTCCTAGGACCTACCTCTAGCCTCTGCTCCACGATGGAGAAGATCCGTTCCACTCCAACGCTGAGGCCCACGCAGGGCACCTTGCGCCCTTTGGGGTCGAACATGCCCACCAGTCCATCATAGCGCCCACCAGCAGCCACACTGCCCACACCCAGGGGTTCTTCTCCTGCCTGAGCAGGGGCCTGTAGCAGAACTGCTTCATAGATCACCCCAGTGTAGTAGTCCAGTCCCCGAGCTAGGCTCAGGTCGAAGGAGATCTGTGGGAGCAAGGCCATGGTCAGTACCAGGTGAGGATTAAGGGCCTGAGGCTGCGGACGGAGCTCACTACACTTCCCTTCCCTAGCCCAGCTCACCTTGTCAGCAATGCCAAATAGGGTCAGGTACTCAAACAGCAGCTTCAGGTCACCCAGGCCCTCCAAGGCCTGCTTGTTTTGGGATAGTTTAGGATCCTGGAGCAGTTGTTCCACTAGGGAGACCCCACCTGCAGAGACAATTTGTAAGCCAGACTAATGACTAGAAGCAAAATGCAGGGAGCCTTCCACTCCCTTTCTCCTCCATGTGATGCACACACAGAGGAGAGTTTTAGCTTCACGCTGGAGCGCTCTGTAGAGGTAGGGTTTGTTCCTTACCGTGCTGTTGGACATAGTCCCCAATACGGTCAGCTACTTCAGGTGCGAGGCCCTTCTCTCCCACCATCTCATTCTTTACTTCCTCCCATGATACCTGGGCAGAGGGACACCAGTCAGGGACCCCTGACAGTTTCCCCTTGCAGAGCAAGTGCAGGCCCTCCTTGGGGGAGGGGGAAGGGAGCAGTTCGGGAGTCAAAGCTTCTCCCTGCATTCTGCATTCCAGTTAATCTTTCTCTGGTGGACACAGAGGCAGCCCCCTTTTTGGGACAGGCTAGGATCTGGGAAAAGTCAAGAGCCTGGGTCATTACCTTGTCCAGCTTGTCCACCGAAGAGCAGATGGTACGGAACTTGCTGTCAGGGACCCCACACACGGCAAACATGCCGTCAAGGATGCGCCGGTCGTTCACCTGCAGGGCCCAGGCTCAGTGAACAGCGAACTGTGCTACCTGACCCCAGTAGCCTTGGTCACCTGAGCTCCTGGCCCCACTGCACTGGGCCCAACTTTACCCACCCAGCCCCAGTCGCCTCTGACCTTAACTAGGAAGTCACCAATCTGAAGGGAACTCAGGATCTCACACATGATCTTCAGGCACTCCGCGTCGGGGATCATGGGGTCAAACTGCCCAGCAATGTCGAAGTCCTGCAAGTGGCAGGGCAGTCAGAGGTCCACATGGATTTAACCTGCTTCAGATCTCTGCTTTCCCCATGAAGGCCAGTTTTTCTCATGCACACATCTCCTCCTTCATCCTCTGCTGATCATCATCCCAGAGAACCCTGGTATTGTTGGGTCTTCTACCAGTCCTGGTTTCCTTTCCACCAACTGGGCTATTCCTGTCTCCCTCAGCTAGGTTTCCTTCTTTCCTCCTACTGCTGTGTCTTAGTCCCGCCCTCTCCTCCCACAGTGCCTTTGTAAAATATGTATGAAAATACTCAAGACACCACAGGGTTAGCATAACCTGAGCAGCCTCTCCCTGCCCTGTGCACATACTCACACATTGGTAGAATTCACGATAGCGGCCTCGCGTCATAGCTGGGTTATCCCGCCGATAGACTTTAGCAATGTGGTATCGTTTAATGTTGGTCAGTTTATTCATTGCCAAATATCGAGCAAAGGGAACCTGGTGACACAGTTAAGGAGAAAGCCCCTCCTACCAGTGTGGAGTGGATTATCTCTAGGAACAGAAGCTGAGGTCCAACCCCTCCCTGTTCTGGTAAAACCATCACCCATAAAGATGAACTACATTTCTGAGTATCAGACAATCAACACTGCCACCATGGGGCCAGCTCAAAAAAGATTCAGCCCCTTTGCGCTTCGGTAGGCTCTGCCCCGGGAATAAGCCACGCAGGAGTTGGGCAGACTGGCCAGGCTGCGGGGCGAGAGCGCCAGGCTGCGGGGCGAGAGCGCCAGGTGCGACCTCTGAATAGATGATTCTCCGACAGCGTGGAGATAAAGGAGACAGGCTACCAGTCAGTTAGGGGTCATCTGTCCAGAGGACAGAGCAGGTTGCTGGAGAGCGGGAACTGGGTCCCGACGGAGCTAAGGGTTCAGAAGAAAGATCTCTAAGGCAATATTCTCTTTAGCCAAATTCCTGCTTCTACCGGGAAATAATTCACCTGATTTCAAAGGCATCACATTTGATCCCACTTATGTCTGGCTATCCCTAAAACTCGAGTCTAGAAATTACCTGAGCCCAGTGAGGGCCAATTCATCCCAAGTGCCAAGAGCCCAGATGTGGAAGGATACAGTAAGGTCATAGCGCAGGGACAGTAGCTCCCCACCCTGATCTTTCAGGTCGTAGATCAACTTAGAGTCTTCCCCATACTTTCCAGTCAGTGTTTCCTGGATAAAACAAAGAAATGTGTGCATAATGCTAAATACAACAGTTTAAAAAGTTTTCAAAACAAAACCCACTACTGGTATCAGTTTGTCTGTGCGCCCTCTGCTCCCTATCCTAATGTGTATGTGTTTGGTGTATTTTTAATCAAAAGGGACACTGATGTTGCTTTCTGCCTATTACATTTCCATTTTGTGACAGCTGAAGTATTATTTTTACAGCTGCATAGTATGGGCCCTCCCTGGTGATGCAGTGGGGTAAAGTGCAGTATTATGAAGCTATCTGTAGCATGATGAGTGCAATCCCCAGCCAGGGAGCTGACCCACATGGCACAACAGACCTCTCCTGTCTCACCTGCTGCTCCCCTCAGCAGTGTATTTCAGTAGATCTACCTGTTCTGTTTCCCACTCTGTTTCTGCTGAATCCTCTTACCCCCCACACCACCCCAGTTCTTGTATGCATAAATAAATAAATATTTTTTAAAAAGTTGTATAATATTCCAGTGAGGAGACATTTCCTCCCTTCCTAGTGTTATATTGTTAGATGTTTAAGTTATTCTTTTTTTTTAAAGACTTATTTATTTATGCCTACAAGAACTAGGGTACAGGCCAGTGCAGGGGGTGAGAGGATTCACCAGAGACAGAAAAGGGGGCAAAACAAGCACTGACTGAAATACACTGCTGAGGGGAGCAGTGGGTGGGACAGGAAAGGTCTGCCACACCATGTGGGTCAGCTCCCTGGCCGGGGATCGAACTCATGATGTAGTGTCTGTGGATCACTTTATAGTGCTGTGCTTTAACCTGTTGCACCACCAGGGATGGCCCTGTTTATTCTAAGAAAAAGAAAAAAAAAATTCATAACATTTCAATAAGTATACTTGCGTACACTATTTTTTTTTTTTTTATGATAAACCTCTGGAGTGGGTTATTAGACCAACTAACATAAATGTTTTTATGACGCCCAAGAGTTAAAAATGTCAAATGCACAAGACAACATACTAATCCTTGTTCTGAAAAAAGTTTTTGGCAAGGTGATAACACTTTTCACCTACCAGCTTACCAAAGTTTAAAATGTCTGAAAATTTCTATTGTGTACAATCAAACACTCAAGCAGTGGTTAATATTACAGAAAATTTTATCGCCCGTCAACATTCATTATTGAAGGCCCACCCTTCAGGGCCCCCCAGAAGTGACTGTATTAGACAAGACAGTTGGAGAGGTATGGCATTTTAGCTGAGATCTAAAATTAAAATCGGTAGTCTTTAAGCCGAAATTAAAGCCATGCAAGAGGCAGGCGCACAGGGAGTTCGGGAAGAGGGAAGAGCGAGAACAAAAGCCCTGAGATGGAACCGTTTTCAGTATGTTGCACAAATAAGAAAGAAAACCAGAGTAGTACAGTGTGAGTGGAACAATAGCATGAGATGAGCTGGGAAAAGCAGGTGGTGGTCAAATGGCACAGGGCCTTCTCAGCCTGGATAAAATTTTGGGTTTTATTATAAATGCAATGGGAATCGCTGAGGTGTTAGCCAGGAATGATGCAATCTGATGTTTTAAAAGCAAAGAACCAGAAACAATCTGAGGACCCATCAGTAGGAGGCTGGCTGTGTATTCATACTTTATATGTATGTCTCAAGGTCTGGGCCCAGAAGCCAATGTAGACAGGAGCCTCAATTACTTCTGCTTCTCTAGACTCACTGGCTGCTGCTTGTGACAAAGTAAATAGGTAAGAGCAGGACTTTCCTCTCAGCCAGCCATCCTTCCTCTCACTAGAGAAAATACTGGCTTTTGTTTACAACAGAGAGGCCTGCAGATGCTCATGGTCTTGTTGCCCTCATTGTTCACACACCCATTCTCCCATCTGGCTGCCCCTCACCCATCTCTCACCTTCAGTTCAAACACAGGGGTATCGATTACTTCCGCACCATGGCGCTTGAAGCAGCGGATGATGACATCAAATACCTTCTCGCGGACTGCCATCTGCCGGGGGCTGTAATCTCGTGTGCCCTGAGAGTCAAAACAGGTCAAAGAACCAGGGTTGGGATTTAAAAAAAAAAACAAAAATAAGATCTACTGATTACAATGCAAATGTTGCCTCAACCTTGGACGTTAATTATAAAACAATTATTAAAAGAATTTCCTATTAACTGTTGCACTCAGATGCTATCACTCTTCTAAATTCCATTTTTTTTTTAGCGTGGTCCTATTTTCTAGGATTCTTAGAACTCTATTTTCTGAGGATTTTTTTCTAGTCACTAGCGTTTTTGCGCCTTCTTTGCAAATGAAGTGAAAAAGGCAAATAATGTTTTAGTACTACAATGAAAGTAATTTTGACCATGAAGACCCTTAAAAAAGTTCTTGTCCCCATTAAATTAGATTTTCTGATGCTAATATGAGTCACACTATGACAAACCTGCATTTGAACAAATTAAATTAGATATTAACAGTTTAATCTGATTTAACATTATACTGTAAAAAAATTTAAACACACATTATAGAGAATAGTATAATTGACCTCCATTACCATGACTACCAGCTTCAAAAACTATCAACAGCTGCTATTCTTATTTTACTTACAATCCGACATTTTTCTTTCCTGGAGTATTTTAAAGTATACCACAGAGATCATATAAATCATCTATTGATATTTAAGTGTGATTCTCTGACATGTAAGGATTAAACAACAACAGTACACCACAATACCTTTATTATAACCAAGAAAATTCAAAGCAACCCTTTACTATTACTGAATGACTAAGCCATGTTTAATTTTCCTCTGGCTTGTTTGAGTCAGATTCTAAATGAAGCCAGAGCATTCTGTTTTGTTGATATGCCTCATTACTATTTATATCCATTTCCTTTTTTTTTTTTTTAAAAGAAAGTCATTTGTTGTTTAGGAAATTGAGTCATTTGTCCTAAAGAATTTTTCACAATCTGGATTTGGTTAATAATATATTCATTGTATCATTTATCATGTTTCTCCATCTCCCACATTTCAAGTAAATTGGTATTTAGGCCTGAAGACCTGACTCAATTCAGGTTCAATTATTCTTGTCAGGATTGTTTCATAGGTGGTGCTGTGTATTTCTTATTACATCACATCAAGTAGAACTTGTCTGGTTATTCTACTTTTTAATGATGTTAAGAACAATCACTGGTTTAGGTGAGGCCAGACTGATCTACCATAAATTTTCCATTAATCATTTTACCTAATAGTTTGATGATCACTGCCTTGGGATTTTATACTGTCTCTTTAACCTTTGAAATGATTTGTGTGTAAAAGAATTAGCTGAATGAATGTAGGAACCCAAAGAATTAACCTTAAAGGGAGGTACCCCAGTGTCAGCAGGGTAATGTGCTTGTGTCGTAACAAGGATTGAAGAAGGCCCTCTCACACAATAGCATGAATACCCAGTCATCAGGCTTATGAGCCAGAAAAGAATCAAAGGGAGACATCTCAACACAAGAAAGGCAGACAAGTGCAATAACAGATAAATATGAAGAGCTGAAGAGCACAAATGGATATTAACAGAATTAAAGAAAGTGGCACCCCGAAATCCTGGTGGCTGAATTAGGACCCCTTAAGTTCATTCTACTGTGTACTCTCCTTCTCTATTTGGTTCTAATCATACAACTGTCCTGAAAACTATGAAGATTCTTTCCTGCTTCTGAGTTTCCACCCTCTACCTGCTCCTATTTCTCACATTCTTCTGGTGAACTAGCACTCAACTTTTAGGTTAACTAGTATATCAGACTCCCCAACTGCTCCTTATTTTTCTCAGAGCATCCTTGTTAGCTTCTTATATCACTTATCACAATTCATGCATGGGATTATTTGTCCTAAATCTGTTTTCTTCGGTAGACTATACGCTTCATGAGGGCAGCCTGTATTAGTCACCTTAGTATACGCACAACTTTGTACAGTGCTAGGCAGACAATAAGCACGCAATACATATTTACTGAGAGAAAGAAGGAACAGCAGCAGCAGGTTGATTTTCCTAAGCACCAAGGTTTCTGCCAATCACTTTGCTATCCCAGAATGACTCAGACTTCATTACAGCCCGAGCAACTGTTGGTTCTCTGCAGTATTTCAGATCCTCCTCAATGATCTGTTTCAGGGAAGCAGGCATGCATGCACCTTGTGGGTGGAATTAGATCACCTCAAAGTCTCCCTAAATCCTTATTTACCTTGGGGGTTTTGAGCACGAACTTCTGTTTCCCTTCATCAGGGCCCAGCTGAGCCTTCAGTTTCAGTAGTTTTGCCACCTCCTCTTCGACCTGGTAGGGAAAGCAGGCGCTGGGCATCACATCTGCTACTGCACCCCTCCTCTGCCATTCATTCCAAATCCCTCCCTCATCCATGATCTGGGGCAGATCTCTCTCCTCCCCAAGCCTACCTTGGCTTCTATCCGCTCTATCCTAGATACCTCTCCACCGACTCCGTCCTGCCCCCCCATCCCGACCCTCATTACCTCGGTCCCTTCTCCACTCCCCTGTCCTCTGTCCAGGCCACCTTGGCGATGTATCCTCCCTGGCCCCTCCTTGCTGGATCGTACCTGCTCGGCGCTGGCTTTCTGCTGCTTGAGGCTCCGCACGCGCTCTCCTTGAAGTCGCACCAGCTCCTCCAGCGCCGCACGTTCTCCCATAGTGGCAGCCACCAGGAGTACAGGGCTGTCTATAGACGTAGAGGCGGCCGCAACCCGAGCTCGGATGACTTCCGGCTACCGAGTTGACGGGCTGCTTCGCCTAGAGAGTTTCCGCCGGCACGGCAGCCACTTCCGGCTCCTACTGGAAGCGCGGTAGCTGACTGGTAGCTTGTGCGGATCCGAGCTAGACTCGGGGGTTTTCTGAAGTCACAACCCCTCACCTCTTCCCTGGCGCTGGCGCTACCCCTCTGCAGCGCCCTGCACCCTTTCTGGTGCCGATCTGCCTTGTGTCCGGTGCCCTTTGCCGCCTATCCCGCGAAGCCGGCATCCTGCCGCACGATGCCCCAGCTCGGGCTACTGCGCGGGAGGCTCTGGACTGCGCTGCTTGGCCAGTTTCTGCGGCCGCCACGCGCCGTTTGCAGCCGGACTGTGCGTTCTCATGGCCAGGTGAGCCAGACCGAGGCAGCTCCGGCCTATCCCGGTGGCATCGCCTGGTTTGATAAATCGGACTGAGTTATTTACTCCAGTATTGTTACATTCGGTTTTTATCGAATAGTATCCACCGTGCACCAGCTTTCAGCTAAACGTTTTAGCGGCTTTGTTATTTAATCTTCATAGCAGTCCTGAGAAGTTGGGATTATTTCCACTGTATAGTTGGGGAATCGGAGACTGCTGTTGAGCCGGGATGGCGCCAGCGTATCCCGGGAACACGTTGAGGGTCGAATCCTGGAGCAGGTTTGCAAGGCAAGATTCTGCTGCTCAGTGAGCAGCCCTTTTACTCTTTATCAGCAGTAATAAACAAGCATGATAGATTATGTGACGATAGGAGGAGCAGAGTCCAGAGAAGAGAAGGGGTAATCAATTTCTGTGGGGAACTGGAGGGGACATGTCGGCCACATATACAGGGAGGACTTCCTGTGCAGGTATTTGATGTAATTTCTGAGCTATTCCAGACTACCTCAGATCATGGCCACACGGTCAGCCGTTACTTAGGAGGCCCAGGCTACCTTTAATGTGGACCCCTGCCTTCAGGCAGTAATGGAGAACTAACTACCTTTTCCAACTCCTTCACACAGATGGGTGCAGAGAAAAAGAGAGAGAGAGGCCCAAAGGGTGTATAGAAACGCCACAGGCTGCAACATTAAATGATTTACCTATGGCTCTATCATAAGGAACATTTAGTATGAGTCCACAGTTCCTAGTTTGAACCTCTCTGGGTCAAAATTAACACTTCTTATACAAAATATTGACTATTTCCAAAAGTGAGATGACTGAAAACCATAATAAGTAAACTGAGTTTACATTAGAATTCACCTCAAAAGGAGTTAAACGCAGTTCATTGCTGTTATTTTAAGAGGTTTCTTGGATTTTGGATTTGCAAAGTCAAAGGGATTGTGGGATTGAATTGCCGTCCTTTGGGGGAGAGATTCTGCCAAAGTATGGAACTATCACAATGGCTTCACAAGTTTCTGGAAGGGTGTTTGGTAATAAACACTAATTCTGTTTTACCTACTGTGAAGACCCTACTGTCTTTTGTCAATTTATTATTATTCATTTTTCAGTCATTGGGTAGCATCCAAACCTGTTATCTTTTCAGTAGGTGATTTGTACGCTCATCAAAGACAGAGCTGACATCTTTTGTTATTTTCTCTTACAGAGTCCTACCAGTCTAGGTCATTGTATTGAATCAGGAAACACATTTCTGTTTATTCCTCAGGCATATTCTGACTCCTTAGGCTTGTTCTCTTTTGTCTTCAAGCTATACCTTCCCTAGCTCCAAGCCTGAGGTTAGAAATTCTTAAGTTCTCTTTAGCATCGTTACATCCAAAACATTGAAGGACCCAAATTTGCAGTAAACTTCATGGCAGTTAGAAGCTGAGTTGCAGTAGTAATAACTGAGCATTCTTGATACTTGAATATGAAACCATATACACAGGAGAAGGAAGCAGAGTAACATTGCACTCTATAAGCACTTTTGTTGTAAATGGGGAAAACTTGACATATTAAATAAGACTGTTTAAAATTGGCTAACAAAGGAGAAAGAAATTCTCTTTGAGCAACTGAGAATTGAAGAAAATCATACAAATGATACTAGAGGTTGTGGTGGAGGTAGTGGGGCTGTTCTGTACTTTCATCCTCAGCTGCTTAAACTTTTTTAGACTTTACAAAGTTCCAAATATAGTGAGCAAGCTTGTATAATTAAAACCTGATCTCATTCACTTATAAGAGGAACATAGGGAAACCATATAAGGGATCAGGAACACCAATACAAAAATCAGTAATTAAAAATGAAAACAAACAAACCTGACCTCATGTATGTTGCTTGTGTATTTCAGATACAACACATGGGGTTTTGGAGAAGGAATGAGATTGGGGCAGATGAAACAGTGTTTGGGCTTCTAATGCTCAGGGCCAAAGGTGTCACGGGTTGGTGGTGCCCAGGGCCAGTGAGGTCACGGGCCTGCTCAGTTGAGAGCATCCACATCTTACCACTTCTTTCTCTGGCAGGTTGCAGAGATGGTATTGGCATCCCAACTAAAACCACATCAAGAGAAATCAAATTTTGTTGTCAAGACCCCAAAGGTAATACCCTTTGTTATACCCAGACTCATTTGAGTACCTTGAGCACTGCCCTATTCTGTTTATCTCTTCCTGAATCCTTTTCATACCCTTTGAGACTAATTAAAAAAAAAAAACACACACACATACACACACAACTGAATTCTCAGAACTCATAGAGATCAACTTGAGACTTGATTGGTTTAGTTTTAATTCTTTGTTTTAAGTGACATGCTTTTTGTCTTTGTTTTCATGTAGCTACTTTTGGTTTCTAGGGCACCAGAGATCTTAGTCCCCAGCAGATGGTTGTGAGGGAGAAAATTCTTGATGTGGTTGTCAGCTGCTTTAAACGTCATGGAGCAAAGGGGTTGGATACCCCAGCATTTGAATTAAAGGTAAGAGGAGAAAAAAGGGTGCAGAAACCCCAATTCTATACCTACTTTAGGTTTCCCAGAGGACTTCTAGCCTGTGTTCTGGAGCCCTCCAAGGAACCGTGGTGGTTTCTGTTTGCCCCTGCAGGAAACACTCACTGAAAAATATGGAGAGGACTCTGGGCTCATCTATGACCTGAAGGATCAGGGTGGAGAGCTGTTGTCCCTGCGCTATGACCTCACTGTATCCTTCTAAGTGCTGGAGCCAGATCTGACTCTTCCCAGAAGGGATGAATATGACTCTGGGACTGTGCCCTTTACTTCTAGTTTCTCCTAGAAGTCAATTCTAACAGCAGCCCTGGGCCTGGAGGACTGTTGTTTAAGTTTAATGCATTTCCCTTGGGGAAGCTTATAGACAGATATCTGGCCCTTTCACCCAGATAGTCTTAATTCTGTAGCTTGAGTGACATTTAGCAGCCTGTATTTTTTTTCTTAAGATTTATTTATTTGTGTATACAGAACTGGGTGCACAGGCTAGAGGTGGGGGGGGGGGCGGTGAGAAGATTCACCAGAGACAGAGTGGGGAGCAGAATATGCAGATTGACGAAGTACACTGCTGAGGGGAGCAGCAGGTGGGTCAGGAGAGGTCTAGCTTTTGCATTTTTAACAGGCACATAGGTAATTAAGATGCATAGAAGTTGTAAGCAATTCCAAGTTATGAAGCTTAACTGTTTTGAGGCAGTTGAGAATTATTTTTAATGGGTATGAGTGGCCCAGACTTGAATAGGTCATTTCTATGTGATTCTCCTGCTTCCTACTAAACTTGCGTTTTGTGATGTGGGATTCCTTTAGCTGACGCTATTGAATACCAACCACAGGTAGGCTTTAGAAATAGTGGGAAACCAGACAAAAGTTCCTTAACCTAGTGGATAAGGTCCGATTGAAATTCATAGAGGCCTAGTTTATCCTAGGGCTTGTAGCTGGGTCTAGGCTTTGGATGCAGTGTTCTTCCTTAATCTATGTATGTGAGGTCCCTTTTGCTCGTTATCTGGCCATGAATAAAGTGAAGAAGATGAAACGCTACCATGTTGGGAAGGTGTGGCGTCGGGAGAGCCCAACCGTGGTGCAGGGTCGCTTCAGGGAGTTCTGCCAGTGTGTAAGTAACCTGAGAGGCAGCATGATTGGATAGTTGTGGGGGGGGTTTGTAAGTTGGGAATTGGCTGCTCAGTGGACATTTTTTTCCCTTTTTTTTCCTGTAGGATTTTGACATTGCTGGTGAGTTTGACCCTATGATTCCTGATGCTGAGTGTTTGAAGATCATATGTGAAATCTTGAGTGGGTTGCAGCTAGGGGACTTTCTTATCAAGGTGAGGCCATGGCTATGAACTGAGGGGAGTAGTATGCATTGGGTGTGATGTCCCAAAACATAATTGACCCCAGCCTTTAAGCCTGCAGCTGTAGGCCTTTTCTTCTACAGCTCTGTCTATCTATAGAGGCAGCTATCACCTATGTCTATGTGAAATTTTCTTTCTACCCCACTATGAGTCAGGAGAATAGGACTGCCATTGTTGGGGAGAAAGGGCATTGATAAGGCATTTGGGTTATGTCCACTGAATTCACAGGTCAGTGATCGGCGGATTTTGGATGGGATGTTTGCTGTCTGTGGAGTCCCTGAAAGCAAGTTCCATACCATTTGCTCCTCAGTTGACAAACTAGGAAAGGTAGGAAGGAAGACATTCGTCAGTGGACCTTATCAGAGTTTCTGCCTTGCCCTCAAATCCATCTCAAATAAAGAGATGGTGACTGGAATTTAGTTATAGCTGGGAGGGTGCTAGGGGAATATTCTGGATCAAGATCTGAGTTTTGCTGTGGGGATTGGATGTCCTAACCTGCCTGTGACTTTGCTAAGTCTGGTGTTAGCAACTTGTGATACACATATTCATTGAAAGTGAAATGTCCTTTTCCAGTTAGAGAGAGAAGGATCTTGAGACTGGACTAATGTTTGGTTGCTCATGCAGATGTCTTGGGAAGATGTGAGATATGAGATGGTGGTAAAGAAAGGCCTGGCTCCTGAAGTGGCTGATCGAATTGGGGACTATGTCCAATGTCATGGTAAGAACCAGGATCTTCAGAACTACATGACAGAACCAGGGAGGGGTGAGTTGGGCACCAGTTGTACCTCTGAAAGAATTCCTTTATGTAGGCTACGTGCTTAGCTCCAGTGTCTGACCTGAATTTAATTTAATTCCCCTTTTTGCTTAGTGTAACCACTTTTGTCTTCAAAAGGCAAAGGAGAGACTCTGGTCATGTGACATTAACATTTGTTTTAAAGAAAACGAGGGAGTCTGGTTAGGGCATTTTAGGGATGAACGACATCTGGGTGAATGTAGAGACCTTGCTTCCACTCCACATTCTCCTCAGGTGGAGTGTCCCTGCTGACGCAGATGTTCCAGGACCCTAAACTCTCTCGGAACAAGCAGGCTGTAGAGGGCCTTAATGATCTGAAGCTGCTGTTTGAATACCTGACTTTGTTTGGCGTTGCTGAGAAGGTGAAATGGGTGAGGAATGTCCTGCTGTGTTCTGGGGGCCTCAAGTCTGTCATACTGAGTATATGTTCCCACAGATCTCCTTTGACCTAAGCCTGGCTCGGGGCCTGGACTACTATACAGGAGTGATCTATGAAGCAGTGCTACTGCCATCCCCTGCTCAGCCTGAGGAAGAGCCCCTGAATGTGGGCAGTGTTGCTGCTGGAGGGCGCTACGATGGCCTGGTGGGCATGTTTGGCCACAAGGTGCCGTGTGTGGGGCTCAGCGTTGGAGTAGAGCGAATCTTCTCCATCATGGAGCAGAGAATGAATGTAGGTCCTAGCTAGGGGTGGATTGGGGTAGAGGCTTAACAGCTCTGGAGAGCCGCTTTTGGATGAGTCTTTTCATCCTGTTTTTTGGAATTCCTGATACAAAGGAAGTTTTTGGTAGTGTGCCTGCTCTTTTTTTTTCAGATGTTTGGTGAGAAGATACGGACCACAGAGACACAGGTGTTTGTGGCAACACCACAGAAGAACTTTCTTCAGGAACGGTTGAAGCTAATTACAGAGCTTTGGGATGCTGGGATCAAGGTATGGGTGCTGATATCCAAGCCACTTCAGTATGTATATAAAAGTCAGGTGCCAGTCCCATTTTTACCTTAGAGGGCAGGATTTAAGACCTTGTTAGTCTTCAGTAGAGTGTCTTCTTAGTAATGAGAGGACTAGCGGCTGGTTTCTTTTGAAATACTTGTTCCCAGTGTCGTCACTCCTAAACCTCCTATTTTGTCTGCCTTTTTTAGGCAGAGCTGCTATATAAGGAAAACCCTAGACTACTAACCCAACTACACTACTGTGAGAATGCTGGCATTCCATGGGTGGTGATTGTTGGTGAGAAAGAACTGAAGGAAGGGATCATCACACTCCGATCAGTGGCCAACAGGAAGGAGGTGAGTAGGTGCCAATAGAAGAAGGGACCAGGTATTTGTATCTTTTGGCTAAGGAAATAACTCCAGGTTGAGCGTGGTAGAGATGCAGGGATATTCATCTTTAGTGGCCAAGAGTTGCTTGAGTGGGCAGAAGTAGGACAAATGAAATTTCATTGAGTATTTTGAGAGTAATCAATAAAATAAACATTTTTAGATAACTGAATGCCTTTTGTTTTGAGGACATACATTCCCCAGGTCAGCTTGAAGTCTCCTTTACTCCTGACTGCTTAGATAAATGATAGGATCATTTATGAATTAAATGAATTCAGAAAAGCAGTGGCTGAGAAGCTAGGATCACTCTCTAGTTTGTCGCATGTTTCAGGTGTACATTAAACGGGAAAATCTTGTGGCTGAAATTCAGAAACGACTGTTTGAGTCTTGATCCTCCCATGATTGCCATCTGCATCTCTGTGGAAAAGTCTTCATCCGGGGCTGAGTTCCTGATGGACTTCACAACTGCAGGATAGAGACAAGTGCCTTCTGTTTCCTCCACTTTGCCTGGGTACAGAACTGTGAGACAATGACAACTCCCCGACTACTGTGAAGAGCTGTTCTGTGTGGGTGCAGATGACTTGATGTGAAAGAGACTTGCTCTGACTTCAAAGCCAGATGGCAAATTTGAAGTGCCATTGAATGACACCAAGGGGTGCTGAAGTGATTGCTGTGAGAAAGGCTCTGAGAAAACCCGGCCGAGAGGATTCTGAACCATTGTGATACTTGCACTATAGCCTCTGGGCCAGATTCCAGAGGAATTTATCCACAACCTGCATTGTCTTGTCCAGGAATTTTTGGGAGACAGCAAGGAGTAATGACTGTTTTCCGCATTGAGGAGAGACACGCCACCCCAAGGGCAGAGCAGTGTCCACACTGATGTGGCTTCTCTCTAACCTATTCACTGTTAACGATAGCAGGGTGAGGCTATCTGTTTAATAATTCTGAATGTTGAACTTAATAAGTGAACAGGGAAGGTGGAGTTCTGAATTTTTGAGCTTTTGGAGATTATTTCCTGTGTCAGATTCACTTTTGAGACTTCCATATCCTGCTAATGAGGTGGATATTCTAGAAGTGGCTGGTTAATATGTTAAATAAAGTGTTAAATGTACTAGTTTGGGTGATTTGTTATTGGTGGCTTGTTTTGCGTAGGCCACAGAAAACGCTGGGATATATACCGAAAATTCTAACTGAATTAGAAGTATTCTGGGGTGATGCTTCTATATTCAGTTAATGGAGCACAGTTCTTCCTGACCACTGCCTACTCTCCAATCCCCCCATCTGAGAAAGACTGTCATGTCGCTAAAATTCAGCAACTCAGTGAGTCATCTACCAGAGTGCTTTACCCTAGGCATTGCTGATGCCTGGCCTTGCCAAGTTCAATCATGTTGACTAAACTGTGCCCTGCAGATTGAATGGCTATAAATTTCTCTCAGTTGAAGGGAAAACGAATTAACCAAAAGGTGATAGCATTGCTTCAAAAAAAAAATGCAAAAAGTGCTTTTCATAGGTGCCTTGGGAAGGCTGTAGCCTTTGTAAACACTTCAATGTTATGGGGCTATAGCTTCAGTTTGTACAGGTAAATTGGCTATCTAGACTCCCAAATAACAATTCAGACTTAAGGTTTAGAAATTCTTGGCAATGCACGCTAAGTTAAGTAGTTGGGCATTGATTGTGGCTTATTTTCCTTATTTTCGTTTGTAAAATAGACGAGTTGAACTAAACCGATCAGCTCCTGGATGCTTGTTTTGAAAGCCAGGGCATAAAAACGTTGCCGGCGCCCTTACTTCCGTGTTGCTTCATATTGCCGTTGCGCATGCGCCAGCTCTTGGGGCGGAGGCGGTGCCGAGCGGTCGGCTTAAGCAGCCCTCCCGTGCTTGGCCCCTGTGGAACTCGAGACGCCAATCTCATTGGAGGGCAAAGTCGCTTTACGGCTCAAGACCGCTCTTTACGGCATTTTCCAGCTTCCCATTCACTTCGCAGTGAAGATGGCGTCGGGCAGTGGGGTAGGTGTTGTGTGTGAGGATGAGGTTTTGTCGGGGTCGGGGGAGGGTTCTCCGAGCGGAATATCCTGCACCCGACTGGCTTCCCGGCACCTCCTCGCGACCTACGGATCCGGGTTCAAGGACTCCCCCTAAGACCCTGGAGCAGGCTCAGTGCAATCGTGGCGGTCTCTCGGGTTGGGGGTCCTGAGGCCACCCCAGCCTCCTGGTGCGGTCCGGAGAGACTTGGCTCTCCAAAGGTCCCGGCGCAGTTCCCTTCATTTATCTGGGGGTGGGGGGGTTCGGACACGATTAGCGACGAATCTTGAGCTCTTTTCTCCCCACAGACAAAAAACTTGGACTTTCGCCGAAAGTGGGACAAAGATGAATATGAGAAGCTCGCTGAGAAGAGGCTCACGGAAGAGAGAGAAAAGAAGGATGGTGGGTTCCTGCCCCGTCAAGGGTTGAGGGTGTTGTAGACACAATGCAGTGGCCAGAGAGCGGGAGGGACGTGGAAATAAATGCACTGTCCTTCTACCCGGTGTAACTCGGCGGAGCGGTGCCGCCAGCTCCTGAGTTCTTCAGATGTAAACTGAGAGCGAGGAGATGGATTGCGCGGTTTTGAGCTGCTTCCCAGCACTGTGGTGCTGTTTCCTTGGCCTTTCTGCTTGGCTCATTATGGAATCCTTAGTAGGGCAGAAGAAGTTATTAAAGATCCTCGTTGAACTTAAGAGTCGAGATAGTCTCAATATTCCTGTCACAGTCAAGACCTTGCCCAACAGTCTGAGAAGATCATGGGTACCCGGGAACATATGATTGCTTCCTTGGGGCTCAGTAGTGCTGGTCTTTGCCTTATACTATATTCTTGTTGATGCTGCTCTCCTAGGAGAGTTTCCACTTGACAAGAAGAAATGTCTTATTTTTCTCATCTACTTTGAAATGTGTACATTCTTCATCTGCTTTATGTCCACATCATTTGGCACACACTTTATTTTTTTCTCCTCTGAGTTGTAGAATAGTTATCCTAGATGGTGACTGGTTGAAACTTTTCTCCAGCTCTCAGAAGGTTCCTTTCTGTGTTCTGCTTGGGTCTTCTGTCTGAAAGCATTACTGTAGTGTTCTTGCTCTTAAATAGTGCTTTTTCGGTGGGGGAAAAAATAAAGTTAATCATTGACTAGAAAACATGACACTTTTGACTTAGTGGATTTATTTTTTTAAACTTTTTTTTTTTAAGATTTATTTATGCATTCAAGAACTGGGGTGTAGGCCAGACGTTGGGGGGCTAGTGTGTGTGTGTGTGTGTGCGAGAGAGAGACAGAGTGGGGAGCAGAACGTGCAGATCTACTGATAAACACTGCTGAGGAGAGCAGTGGGTGAGATGGGAGAGGTCTGCTGTGCCATGTGGGTTAACTCTCTAGCTGGGGATAACACTTTAGTGCTGTGACTTTAACCCCTACACTATTAGGGAGTCCTGACTTGATGGCTTTAATATGGGGAAGAACTATAGAGAGTTAAGGATTGGTTACCATTTTTCCTGTGTTCAGGATCTTCATTACTGTTGCTTAGCAAGTTGTGTCCCTTGTTACAGTATTTAAAAAAGAAATGAGTGGCCTACATAGTGTCCTAGGAGTTAAGTCGCGGTGCTACTACTGTGTCAGTCTGAGTTGGTCCTGGCCAGAGAGCTGACTCACATAGGGCTCAGCAGACCTCTCCTGTCTTGCCCGATGCTTGCCTACCCAGTGTATTTCAATAGATCCCCCTGTCCTGCTCCCCACTCTGTCTCAGTTGAATTCTCTCTCACACACATACTCCTCCCCCAACCCTGACACCTTTGGCCTACACCCTGGTACTTCTACACAAAAATAAATCTTAAGGAAAAAAAAAAAAAAGTAATAAACTTCTGGGTCTTGGATGTCTAGCATTTTTTTCCCTTTCTAGTTGAGGACCTGTAATATTGAAGGCACTTCCTTCCCCATTATATTTCAGGAAAACCAGTGCAGCCAGTCAAGCGGGAGCTTCTCCGGCATAGGGACTACAAGGTGGACCTGGAATCCAAGCTTGGGAAGACAATTGTCATTACCAAGACCACCCCACAGTCTGAGATGGGAGGGTGAGTGGCTTTTCATCCTTCTCTTCAGCCACAAGGGTGTAATAAATTGTCTCTCTTGGATTTAGGAAGTGTGAGGGGAGGCCATAGAACAATCTTGTTGACTGTAGTACCAGCCTTAAATTATTTAGTTTTATTTATTGGTCACCTGAGGTCTCAGGTGAACATCAGTATTTCCAGGAGGGGTCACCAGTAGGTCTTTTTATATTAGCACTGTAATTGATTAACAAGGATTATTTGTTCTCCTGCCAAGGAGAACAGATGGAGTTTGAAAGGACTGCTGAGGAGATTCTACAGGAGAGATTAGGTGAAACTAGGAGATACTTGGTGAGGTTCCATTCTGGTTGCAAAGGTCGTAGTTGTTACGGATTGCTTGGTTGTGTATCTTCCTTCTATATCAAGTTTATAACCCATAGGGAGAAGGGTCCTGTTAAAACTCTTTATTCTTTTGCCTACCACTGCTTCTCTGTTTAATTAGGTTTAAAAAAAAAAAATGAGCTTGTTTTAGCAGGTAGGCAACACAGCTCTGAGTTTTCTGAGCTGCATAGTAAATAAACCCTTTGATCTTTCCCAGCTGTGCTAGTTAATCTGTTGCTGTGTAAATTATTCCCAAATTCAGCAACATATAACAACAAATATTTCCATTTGTGTGGGTAAGGAGTCTGAGAAGGGCATATTTAGGTGAATTTCACTTTGCGTCTCACAGAAGAGCAAGCAGGGTGTCTGCATTCAAGATGTGAGTGGGACTGGAGAATGTGCTTCTAACTCTCTTTTGTGACTATGGTTTGAAGGCCTCAGGACGTCTCCATAGCTCTATTCACAGCAAAGCAAGTGCCTTCCCCAGAGGAACTGATCGACATAAACAGACTAAAACATAAGCCTCATTTAAAAATAACCTAACCTTGGAAGTAAATAGCACTTTTGATATATTCTGTTGGAAACAGATCCACACTGGTACAAATTGGGAGGGAAGGCACAAGGAGGGATTTGTTGACTGCAAATCTTAGGCAATTTATATGTCTCTGTGCCTCAGTATCTCCATATAAGAAGGTGGGATTATCATGGCTGGAGATTATTATTATCTGGAGATTGGTTCCCCCACTGTTTGACAGCTATATATAGCTTTATGGAAATAAGACATGTACCTCCTTTTTCTAAAATGAAATTTCTCTTAAAAATATTTATTAATTGGGTCTCCATGGTGGTACAGAGGTTGAAGTCGCTGCATTTTCAAGCTGTCACCAGCCACTGTGGCACGAGTTCCATCTCCAGCCAGGGAGGTGACCCACATGGCACAGCAGACCTCTCTTGTCGCCCACTGCTCCTCTCAGCAATGTATTTCAGTCAGTCTGCCGGTTGTTTACCTGTTCGGGTCCTCACTCTGTCTCTGGTGAATCCTGTCACCACGCTCTCCTTCACACCTCTGGCCTTCACCCCAGTTCTTGTATGCATAAGTGAAAGTAAATCTTTTAAAAAACAAAATGTCAGTTGGAATTTGAGAAGATCCTTACAACCAGGCTTGACAAGTACCATTTCTTTCTCTTTGCTAGATATTACTGCAATGTTTGTGACTGTGTGGTGAAGGACTCCATTAATTTTCTGGATCACATCAATGGAAAGAAACGTAAGGCTTGGAGGTAGTTTGTGGCCGAGATTGGGGCTGGGTTTTGGGGGTGGGCTGAGGGTAGTGGAGGGTTTCTGTAGGGTCCTTTTTTCAATACCTGCGAATTCTATAGTTGCTTCAACGCAGACCATCCTCTACTTCATTGTCCAATGTTTTGCAACACCATGAGGTAAGACACTGTTCGAGAGTCTCAATGGGCCTAAATCATGTTCTTCTGCGCTCCACTGTCCCACTTGTGTACAGTCTGCTCAGTAAGGGCAGTTGAAAGCACCTTGCATCTTGTTATCTGAGGTGGCTGCTCTTGCAAACAGGTAAAGACAAGGGATTATTTTTCAGGCAAAATTACTTTTACCGTAGGCTTTACGAGATTTTTTTAAATGTCAGGAAAACACTATTTGAGGGATTGAAGTTGTGTTTATTGACTTTACTTTCTTCAATGGGTACACCATGCAGATCAGCGAAACCTGGGCATGTCTATGCGTGTGGAACGTTCCACCTTGGATCAGGTGAAGAAACGTTTTGAAGTCAACAAGAAGAAGATGGAAGAGAAGCAGAAAGATTATGATTTTGAGGAAAGGATGAAGGAACTCAGAGAAGAGGCAAGGCTCCACTTTCTCTCTCTCCTCCCTCCCCTCACTTTGAGCTTTACATTGTGCATGATGGGCATGTGCTCTTCCTCATCCAACTCTCTGGGGCGAGGGCACGTGTGTCTTTTGAATTTCTGTGTATCAGGGGAAATATTTATTGCCCCTAGAGGGGGCTCTTGTGCCGGGAAGAGGGTAGCTCCAAAGTTGGTCTCTTTTACTTTCACTTTCATTTATACTTTTCCCCCTTAAACACTGGGAGGAGTTAACTAAATGTATTTAGTCCCCAAGAGATCAAAAGGACCAACTAATTGGGTCCAAATTCTGCTTCCTACACCTGCTGGCTGCAACTCTTAGGCAACTTATATATTCTCTGTGCCTCAGTTTACCCTTATAAGAAACCTTAGCATAATACACATAAGGCACTTAAACATTTTCTGACTTGTACTGCATGCCCAGAACACTAATTCTGATATTACATTATTTTGTTCCCAGAACCTTGTCCCAAACTAGACATGAACTATATAGTTTTGAGAAATGCTTTCCAGAGGCTAAAACTTGTCTTTTTTTGTCCCTTGTAATCTTTAACATGACTTTTCTCTGTTTTCTCCTTGAAATTCATCTGTCTTTGGACAATATTTGGCTCAAGAGTCTGAACTGATTCTGGGTGATTTTCTTTCCCCTCTAGGAGGAAAAGGCCAAAGCCTACAAGAAAGAGAAACAAAAGGAAAAGAAAAGGAGGGCTGAGGAGGACTTGACATTTGAGGAGGATGATGAGATGGCAGCTGTCATGGGCTTCTCTGGCTTTGGTTCCACCAAGAAGAGTTACTGAGGCTTTCTATGCTTGGCCCTGTGCTGGGCCTAAATTTGTGTGTGTGTGTGGGATCAATTTGGGGGAGACATTTGGGGAAAGTCCTTCGGAGTGGCCGTGGGGAGGGCTAGAGGGTGGTTGTTTGTGGTTTCCCTCTCCTTTGAGAGAGGGCACAAGATGCAGAGGTAATGTTCTGGCACATTCCTTCACCTCAGTATATCACTGGAGTCACAGGACCTCTGCCCATCTGTGTTTCCAATAAAGAAAAACCTCCTCTTCTGAGGCTACTATCCCCAACCCCCCCCCCTGCATTTTCCCACTTCATCTTTCCATTCTCTCCTCTGAGCATCCTCTGTTTATCCTGTGTTCAACCTTTGTTCTGATTTTCACCTTTATTCAGCCTGCAGTGGAAGGGTTCTCTGGGTACCCAGTTTCCAGTTGATAGCATATCTTTGATCACCCCACACCCCCATTTCCTGCATCCACCCTGTGGGTCTCTGGCCGCCCGTGCATGCGTGTACTCCTGCCTGGGTTGGTGGTGTGTGCGGGTGTGTGTGCATGAATCTGTCACATAGAGGGAGCTTGAGCTTGAACCTCAGAATGTTGTTGCCTTGGGGCCTGATGTTTTCAGCTTCCTCAGCGCATGTAACAGAAAATTAAATGGGACGAGTGTTTGGTGTGGTTTGTGTTTGGTGAGTTTTTTAACCTTTGTTCTTCAGATATAAACTTCAGCTTTTCCTATTTCTTTCATTTTATTGAGCATTACTCCTTGTCTTCCTTGTGAGCAGGTTCTTGAAAAAACCTGTTTAGTGCAAAAAAAAAAAGAAAGAAAAGAAAAGAAAAAAACCCTCATGTGGGTGCCCTTGGGTCATGGCTGTCCACTGTGTACACTAAATGGCCTTGGCCATGCCTGTTCCATAGTGGTGGGAACTCTCCATATTCTGCCCTGTGCATTGTTTTCCTTTCCACGCTGAGGACTTCCGGATAGATAGAACTTTCTCTTGTCTCATTTTATTTGAGACCTACCCCTTTTTTTCTAGTTTCCATCGGCATGAACTGTACTTTCCTCTTACGGAATCTATGTCCAGAGGAGTCTGAACAACTCCTAAAAATTTAGCTTCCTTTGATCTTTTTTTGGAATAGCAGAGCTCAGGGTTGAACTTCAGTGTTTTCTTCAGTGTCTACAGTAACACTTGGCACAGTTATGTAGTACTGGCACTGTTCACATTTCAGCATTTGTTGTGGGGGTGCCCTTTTGCATTGTAGGATGTTTAGCAGTATCCCCAGTCTCTACTCACTGGATGCCAATAGTACCCTCTCCCCAAGCTGTAACAACTAAAGTGGTCTTTGTCCCCAAATTAAGGATGTCTCTGTGACCAAAACCATACTCTTCAGAACTTCAGAGAGCCTGCTTCTCCACTTTGGTACAACATGAGAATTGGGGACACAGACTTGTAGCTAAAAAAGAATAATAAAACTTTATTTTTGCCTTAGATCAAGGGGTATGCCAGGCCCCAGGGATGCAGAACAAAACAAAAACAATTCCCTTTTTTGGAAAAAAAAAAAAGTGGTTACATGAACTTCAAGCAGTTGCATTGCCTAAATTTTACTGGTCTATACCCTACAAGGGGCTCTCTGGATTAACAAAGTCACTACCATATGTCTACATTCTCTACCTTAATTTAGGTCCTCACACGTTTATATAGCATCCGAACCATTTGTGGGTCATCATTCTCCACTACCCCTACCCCCGATACTGTATTTTCCCCTCTGGATTCTGTGTAGAATTCCTTTACTATCAGACCTGCCTTTTGCTTAGTTAATTCCTGGTTCTCAATCTTGCCACTGGGAACTCTTCATCTGGCTCAAGACCTGGCTCAAAGTTTCACATGCAGTAAGTATTTGTTGGCCAAATACAGGTGGATCAGAGGGTGCTTTGCTTGCTGGATAAGTAGTAACTGCCCTGTTCACTGGATCCTCAGCTTCCCCTGTCAAAGTAGACTGGTGAAGGATAGTTCTGAGTTCTTCCACAGTACAGGATGCATTCTTTAGGAAATCATTTAATTTTACTTGAAATGATTTCCCTTCCCCTTTGGCACATTGGAATCCTATTTCTGTCCACCTCTGCTAAAAAGCAGTTCTGAATTCAGGTTATCTGAATTGTGTTGGGACTAGCCAATGGCAAGGAACCTGTTCAAGGTCGTGAATGGAGGGCTGAAGGTGTTAATTTGGAAGAGAGCAAGGGGGTGGGATGGAAATTTAGGAGCCCAGGCAAATCCAGAGAACTAAGAAATACCTGGAAGAGAAACGGGAATGTCTGTGGTCTTTTTGAAATCCATGGTCAGTTTGTATTCTACTGGAGGAATATGCTTGTGATGAGCTTACCATTTGTTCATTCAGGGAGTGCTGAGAAGCTGAGCATGTCCTAAGCCCTGCTGGTACCTTCTGGGGTAAGACCCCAGTTGTCATGATTCTCATTCTGGGGAAATTACTTTTTATTTAAGGGAACAAAAGTTCTGAGTGGCTTCAGGTGAGTGTGACTTCAGGCTCCCCCAGGCCTCTTGGATTTTTCGTAAGTGCTGCCTAAAAAATTAGGTGAGAAGACTTGCACAACTATTCTACTCAAGGGTATTTGCTGTGTGACTCAATGTACAAGAATGGACCGCAGTTTTGTTCATTATAGTGAAACATTTAAAATAAAACTGGCACCTTTATATTTGAATGTAACTCAGCTCTTAGGATACATGAATTAGATGTATTATATACTGACAAGAATTGTATTAAGACATGGTGTTTGGCAAACAGAATCAGTACCTAACAACTTGACCCCCAGTGATCCCACCCAAATCATGAAACTATTGTGATGACAGGAAAAGGACTGGAGAGATGCCCACAGACATGGTGACACATTTAACTGGAGGAAAGAAGGCTATGTAGGAAAAGTTAGCTTTGAAAAGTTTTTCGAATGCATAAAAGGAAGAGGGAATTCGTGCTTTACATAATCTGGGAATACTAAGTATAAACTGTCAAAGGGACACTTATCAAAGGAACTGTGGAGTTTAACTTGTATAGCTACAAAGTTGTAAAGCGTAGCCTTATTTTGCAGCCTGTGAAGATTTGGTTCTCCACTCAGGCACTGGCTGTGAAACGATTTAGCCAGAGATTACCTGATTGTCAGGAAGGCAGAGGCTGGAGGGTGTGTCCAGACACAGGTGGCTCAGGTGACCACGGAACTAGGACTAAGGCCAAGCAACTGCAGAAAAAGCTCACTAGGGGAATAATGGGGACCTGTGTCTTCACTAACCTGTAGCTTCAGATTGGACGCTGAACTTCTCTTGTGGGCC